ATACAATAATTATTTTTACTAATATACTTCTTAATTACTTACTAATCATACTTTACTTAAATTTTTGTATCTACCATAAAACGCCCAAATTACATAGGACAAAGAGAGTATTTTTTTATGATAAAATTAATAATGTATTAATATTAAAATATTATTTATTTTTTTAAAAAATTACAAAATATAAAAAATATCAAAATTCTTATTCATTTTTATTGACTAATAAAATATTATTTTTATCTTTTAATCTACAACAAAATTCTAATATGGTCCATTTGGATTGGGACGGATGTAGTAACGAATTATGTCATCTCCGTCCCAATTAAACATTCTTTTCATCATCTTTTTTATATCTTTGGTTCAAATGTATTCAATTTTTTATTATGATTATAAAAATTAAGATTAATATCAAAATATTTTTTATTGTTACATAAATTACAAATATATTATTACACATATATATAATTAATTTATTCATAAATTACGAATGGCAAAAATATCCAAATAATTTTATATATTTTCACTAATTTATATAAAACATAAATGTATATATTTAATTTAATAGTACTTTTAAAGCGAAAAAATCTAGAGTGTGTATCTCTGGCTCAAAACTGGGTGGTTTGGGTTTTGGGGGACAACCCGAAGACATTTTTTTAAAAAAAATTATAAATATAATTTTTTTTAATAATTATAATTTAATAAAATATAATATATATGTCATTTTGTAGAGAATACAATTTTTTATAATAAAAATAAATAAAAATTTAGAAATATATATGTAAGTATAATATAAATGTATAATCAAATTATACAAATTAATACACATTTATATTATTATATTTATTACCATCAAATCAATACACATTAAAATTCTCTAAATCCAACCCAAACCTAAACACAAAAGAAACACATAAATTCAAACTCACCTCAAAATTCTAATAAAAATCAAACTCAGAATCAAAATTTCCACAACCCCCCTCCCCCACGTAGAAACACACCCTAGTTAGTAATAGTGGCATAAATATTATGTAATATATATTAATATTGATATAATTTTTAAAAATATAATCCGTATAATACTTCATGGTCGTTCAATTTTATTTTTTTATTATCATAAAAAGTACTTTTTTTTTGTTTCGATTCAAAATTTTCATTTATTATTTTTTTATAATAAATTTAAAAATAATAGTAATATTAAATAATTTTAATATTTTTGTACTTATTGTTGGGATGGAATAAGTGCTATTCCAATAAATTTTCGTACACTTATTCAAATGGGCCAACTCCTAAGCGTGGTTATATCACAGTTGTAATAGCATCTTGTCAAAGAAATAAATGCAATATCCAAAGCAATAAAAGACAAGATATTTGGTAACCCGGTTCGGTTATAACCAACCTACATCCGAGAGATTCTAATCCAGGAGAATTTAACTAATCAAAGGTGATTATGAACAAAACAGCTCAATACTCCTTCAACCCATACTATAATGCAAATCATCTAGGAAAATCCCTCCACAGGTATAAGTTGTCACAAACTCGTACTAACAACTAACAGATAGCAGGGTTGCTTAGACTTTGGATGAATCTCCTGATCGGATTTCCAATCTCTCCTTCCTCCGATGAGGTCTCCGGCAAGTAATTGTGTCTAGCACTCTCTCAATGCATGGAGAAGGGAAGGGTTGGGGTTGAGAGGATTTTACTTACTTTCTCTACTACAGTTCTCTCACCAAACCCATACAACAACCAAAACTTCCCACACGACTTACCAAGATGCAGCCAAACAAAGCATGCAGGACAAACTCAATTAAAACCCTTTGCACGAAAATGGAATGATGTATTCCTGAATAAAGTCTGTGACATGTTGACCACAAAAAAATCCATTCTTTTTGTCTCTTCTAAGCTTCCCAAATCGAGAAGAGCAGACCCAGTAGTGTTGCAGTAACCTGAATGGAAACAAAGAAAGGCAGCAGGGAAAAGCAGGAAGAACCATATACCAAAAAAGTTGGAGAAAAATATTGTTCCAACATTTATCAGTATAAAAGAAACAAATATTTATTTTAAAAAAATAGAAATATTTTGATATATAATTATATGAATTATTTAGAAAAATGATTAGTTTTGAATGAGCAACGAAAATGATAAAAAAAAGTATATTAAAATATAATAAAGGGAGTATTACATTATATTTTTACTAAAAATATTACTTCTATCAATTTAAAATGTTATCCTCTTGACATATACTCCCTCCGTTCCACCACAATTGACATGATTTCATTTTTGTCTGTCCCGTAACAATTGACATTTTTATATTTTTGGTAAAAATTATTAAACCAAAAAATATTCAACAAATATAAATAAACTTAATTAACTATATAACATACAACATCATAAATGAGGTATGATCCACTCAAAAATCCTTTATTTCTACATCTCTCCTCAAAAAAATAAATATTTTTATTTATATTTTAAACTACATATCTTTTATAAAATTGATTTATGTTAATTACGAATAAACAAAAATATATATATTTTATTTACTTGTATTATAGAAGATTTTATTCTGTAAATATCCATATTGCATATATTTTCTAATTGTTATATAATTTTTAAATATTTAAATATATATTTTAATTTTTTTAATCATATATATTAAATTTACTTTAAAACTATAATTATTATTAATTATAGAAAAAATAATATAATAATATTATAACTAATTATTATTAACTAATTAAATATCCTCACCTTAAATACTATGTTCTAATCGAATGTTCAATTTCGGTGGAATGAAGGGAGTAATATATATAGTTACATGTTACTATATTAATATCATTAATTACAAAGTATAAGACACAAATTAAACAAACTAATAAAACCTAGATTTGGATCTTACACAAATCAATTACAAATTATGTTTGATTTTCCTATCAATTTGCCTATGAGTTTTCGTGTTTTTTGAGCCCGAGTGATTGGTCCTAATGCTTTGTTCTTTTATGATCTGAAATTGATTTAAAATGAAGTATTGATTTAAAATTTCGTTTAACTAGTATTTTGATATAATTTTTGTAAGAGATAATTATATATTTTTATTAAAAATTGTATAAAAAGATAGCGTTAACAAAACTAAATTGTTGTTTCCATTGAAAGATTTCTTGATTTGTAACACTTTGATTGAAGGGGAAGAAACTTACAACAAATGTTACTACCACCACCTCTACAACAAATGCATCGATGGGTTGAGCTGATACAATTGTATCATCGGGATGTATTTATCTTGTAGGATATATATGATTATAATACATATATTATTCTAATGAGTTATATAATAATATGATAAACTAAAGAATTGATTATTGTATAAGATTATTTATTGTGCCTAAAATACGTGTGTTTGTTTGAAGGATTTGTGGGAATTTTTACTATTCACACAATTTTTTTTTCCCAAAAATATCAAATCAAACACCTATTTTTTATTTTTTATATTATACTAAATATCAATTTTACATTCAAAACATCACATCACATATTTATATCACATCATACAACTATTCAAATTCAAATTTTTTACTATTTAAATCCCAATCCAAAATTCGAACCCCAAAACAAACACACCCTAAGTATTAACGAAAGATAAAATAATTTATTTTATTTTATTATATCTCAATATTATCTAATGCCGCACATAATAGAAGAATTAATAATCCTTAATATTCATCATAGATTAGGTGCTGAACTTAAAAAATTCTGCACCGGGGGCTGACACTTAAAAACATACTCCCTCCGTCTACAAACTAATGTCCTACTTTCCTATTTGGAACGTCCAACAACTATTGTCCTATTTCCTTTTTTAAACACAAATTTTATATTTTTACCGTTCATTCATTTATTACTTTTCATCTCCACCGTACAATTAAAGGCAAATTTGTCAATTCATAACAAAAAGACAATCACCTAAAAAACCGTGTAAATATACTTTGACAATAGAAATTGGACGGAGGGAGTATTATGTATAATTATATTAATTAATTATTTAATTATATTATTTAGAATAATTAGGATTTTATATTATTAGCGCATGTGCTGAATGAATGAATTCAACATTTGCTCCAAAGTGCTTAATATAATATTATTATACCAAACTTTACTTTATCCCAAATTATAATAATATATAATAAATAAATGATTAAGTTGTATAAAATAGTATTATACATCCTAGTAATTCAAAGTAAACACACCCTCTAAGTACCATGTTGGTTGATTTCGATCCTCAATCACAAATAGGTTGTTCTAAGGGCTTGATAGACACTTTGATTGTTTGGTTATTTCTAACTGTATAATTCTTTTACCTATTTCTGAACACGACATTGTTATTTTTTCTAATCCATAGGCTAATTCGTGTTTGTATGATGATAATTATTCGAGAATCTAAAGTTCTCATGGTGTGTATTTGAATTAGTTGTCAAGTATGAAAATTCTTTGTTATGATATAGGAGTATGTTCATTTAAATTTTTAACTATTTTATTTTATTTTTATGCTCACAGATTCAATCGGTAGATAAGGGAACTTTATTTTATAATTATAACTCTATTTTGGTATATATATATATATATATGCTGCTCTTTTTTTATGCATACGTGGTTGGTATTTTATATGCTATCCTTTTGTGATTAATACGTAGTAGTATAGTAAAAAAAAAATCAAATAAAAAACTCAAAATTAAATCAAAACAAGTAAACCCTAATATTTGACTGCCTTGGGCACGGTGGAAAACACTCCCAGAGATTTAAAACAACGTAGGAATTGTACGACTACAGACCACACCACTTTCATAATTAATTACTGTCGTGTTGCGATTTCATCTAATAGAGCATGAAACTGCCAAACCACCGACCTAGCCAGCCACCCTCTCCAGTACCTATAAATACGGTTTCCTCAAGTTTCTGCTAACAAATCTAATGTTCTCTTTTTCATCTAATAAAACATGAAAGTACTGGCGAACGGAATGGCCGGTCCCCGGAATTTCTTCTCCGTCGCTGCGCGACAGTGTTCTCCGGCGGTAAACTTGCAAACGACGTCGTCGCAGAAGGCCTTCAACGGAGGTTTGAAATTGGCCGGTGCGACGACGTCGTCCTGGAAGACCAGCACTGCGGATTCCGGCGAGGAGGGGAATCTCCGGGAGAAATGGAGGGAATTCCAAGGGGTTAAGAATTGGGATGGTTTGCTCGACCCTCTCGACGACGGCCTCCGCCGCGAGATTCTCCGGTACGGCGAGTTTGTGGAGGCGGCCTACCGGAGCTTCGATTTCGACACCTCTTCGCCGGATTATGCTACGTGTCTCTTCCCGGACCGTTGGATGCTGGCTCGGTGCGGGATTGGGAATACGGGTTATGAAGTGACGAAGCACCTGCACGCCACGTGCGGGATACAGCTGCCGGATTGGGCGGACCGGATCCCCGGCTGGATGGCGGCCCGGTCCAGCTGGATCGGGTACGTCGCCGTTTGCACGGACGAGCGAGAGATCGCACGGCTGGGACGGCGCGACGTCGTCATCGCGTATCGAGGGACCGCCACGTGTATGGAGTGGCTGGAGAATCTCCGCGCCACGCTGGCATGCCTACCTGCTGACATGGCGCCGGACTGCTGTCAATCGATGGTTCCGAGCGGCTTCCTCAGCCTCTACACATCGCGGCATTCCACGTGTCCCAGCCTTCAGGATTCAATAAGAGAAGAAGTTTCCAGAATCGTCGCCAAATACGCCGACGAGCCGGTGAGCATAACCGTCACCGGCCACAGCCTCGGCGCGGCGCTGGCGACATTGACGGCTCACGACATTACGACGTCGTTCAAGGAACAAAATCCTCCGGCGGCGGCGCCGCTGGTCGCCGTCGTGTCGTTCGGCGGTCCGAGGGTCGGAAACAAAAGCTTCCGTAGCCAATTAGAGAAGAACGGCACGAAAGTCCTCCGGATCGTCAACTCCGACGATCCGATCACCAAAATTCCCGGCTTCGTTCTGGAGGAGAGCAGTCCGCCGGCGGTGTGGCGCGGCAACGGAATTTTGTCGGATTGGGTGCAGAGGCAGTGGGTGTACGCGGAGGTAGGGAAGGAGCTGAGACTAAGTAGCAGGGACTGCCCCCAAATCAACGGCGGGGGATTCGCCACGTGTCATGATCTGAAGACGTATCTGCATCTGGTCGATAACTTGGTGAGTTCCAATTGCCCGCTCAGGGCAACGGCTAGTAGGGTGCTAATGAATGCCGCCAATATACGTACGTAGTATTAGTAGTTTTTAATTAATTAATCAGTGTAGTTTTTTGTTTTTGAGTGTAAATATTTAAATATTGAAATCGCTAAAATGATTATAGCGATTTTTAAATACTTAGAATTTAGTTCTTCAGTTCCTTTCTTGTTCCTGTGTAGTGTTTTAATTTGGACATGATCAAAACCCTAAAAATCATGCATTCATCATTATAACTTATAAGCACTCCATTCTGTTATTTACTCAATGTTTATATACATAGTATTTTTCTTTAGTAATTAAAAAAAAAAAAAACTTCACAATTATTTACCCTCACAAAATATGACAATAAATACTGTAATTTTTTATTATTATTTTTTTTTTACCATTTCTAACATTTTTTTAACTAAAAAAACCTCCATCTAAACAAAGCCTAAAAATCTTAATTTGATTAATCAAAATTATATTTGTGAATATATATATATATATAGTAGAACAATAAATAATCTACATATAAGCATGTTTTTGTTTTGTTGCAAAGTAATAGGTTAGAAATGAAAATTGAATACTGTGAAAATGTTGCTGAAAATATGGACGGTTTGTTTGGCTGTAGTGTTTCTTAAGCTTGTCCTAATTATAATTTTTTTTAAAAAAAATATCAAATTAAATATTTAATTTTTATTTCTTTTTATATTATATTTAAAATTAATTTTATATTCAAAATACCCATCAATATATATTTATATCATACTTATTAATTATTTTAATTTAAAATTTTACTTTTGAAAACTCATGCAAACACAAACAAACAGACACGTCCACCAACTATTCTCACACAATTAGCTCAATTAATTAAAATTGGAATGGTCACCGTCCATAACATTTCTAGCAAAAATGAACATTTTCTTCTTAAAAAAAAAAACATTAGATATTTATCATATACACATATATTATCCTAAGATATGCTTCAAATTTCAATTCATATTAAAATGCATTTGGGGATTATCGAATTTTTTGTTCTTTTAAATATACTCCAAATTAATAATTGATTATAAATTGACAATTTAATTAAAATGTATACATAACATTAATGAGTTTAATCATTTTGTATTTTTGGATGGATGTATTTTTTATATTAGTTATGAAAAATTCTATTGGTAATATAAAAAATAATATTTCTTGTTAAATTATTTATATATAATGCGTTAATGTATATATATGATATTTTTTTTAATAATATTTATTAAAAATTATTTTATTCAAAAACATTAAGTGAACAAATATGTTAAAGTTTATAATTTTGAAAGAGTGAGAAATACATTTTGTAAATATACTAACTTAAACTAATAGTAATAGAAATAATAGTAGTAGTAGTATTTTGATACGTGTATTATCATTTTTAATTTAAAATCAAATTGTGTTAAATTTAGTAGCTCTTTACCCTTATAAGTAATAGAGAATTGCCATATTTTTTCTACACGGGACAATATTCAACATAAACACTATACTAAAAAATATTTTATCGTTTATTTACAAAATATACATATTTCTATCTCAAATTGTATAATTATAAAGAAATTATTTTATATTTTATCAGTAACTATGAACCTTACTTTTTTTTTTCTACAAATACTTTTATTATATTATCACATTATTACTTTTACACAAAAATAATGACAAAATTATCTCTACACTACTTTATATTACCTATTACAATTAAAATACTACTCATTCCGTCCCGCCACTTATGACTTTTTTTTGTTTTTTTCTCCATTCCACAAAAAATTGGTTCTTTTTATTTTTGGCAAATTTATCAATTTTAAAAATATTTAACAAATATAAAATTAATTAAATTTCTAACATTATATTTCTATCACTCTCCTCAATTAAAAAATATTTTTATTTACTTTTAAAATTCTTAATTTTTTATAAAACTAATTTATGGTAATGATAAATAAATAAACCTTTTTTTTCATCTATTTGTATTATATAAAATTTTATTATCTACAAAATATATATTTTACTGAGATATAATGATAAAAATATTTAAATACATATTTTAAATTTCTTTTAATTATTAAATAATTAATTCATAATATCTAAATAACTAATCTATATTATTTAAATTCGTGTGTCCAAACAAAAAAGTTTATCTCTACCGGGGGACGGTGGTGGTGGTGGTAGAGACGGAGTGAGTATTATTTTTTAAATTTCGGATCAAAATGGGCTAAGGATATATATTTTCATATGTACGAAATTAATTATAAAACATTCTGGTTAAACTGCTGAATCACGCTCCACTAAAAATAAAATTTTTAATTACTTTTTGGTTTATTATTCAGTATTAAAGAGATCAAAATAAATAAATAAATAAAACTTAAAGAATAATTATTGGAATTGAACCGATACCTAACTGAAGAATTATTATTTTATTATAAGTAAACGTGTAAGTCACCTGAAATTTGTGCCAATATTTCATTGCAGACCAAACTGTCGTCTTGAGTTCAGACACGCAGTTCCATTGACTTGGGAAAAAATTGACTTTTCTACTCTGTACATTTTGAGGAGTCAAATAATAATAATAAAAAAAATGTTTTGATGGATTATTGGCAGTCTTATCAGGAAGATGACACATTGACATGAAAGAAAGTCAGCGCCGTCAAAACCTGTGACCGTGTAAAAAGTTAATAATCCATTTTATGGAGCAAAGTAGTATCCGTACAATATTTATATATGTAGGTATTCGTAATTTTGGTGCTACCGTCCACATCAAATTCTAATGTTAGATAATATTGGGTACGTAGTCAACATTAAAATTTATAGAAATATTGCATTATTTTTAATGATTAATTGAAAGTCCAATCATTTGTCGAAGCCATAAAATTAATATTCCATCCGTTGTTCAATTGTATGTTCGTTTGACCGGACACGAGTTTTAAAAAAAATATATAAAAATAGAAATTTTTATTTTTTTAAATAAAAAAAAGTGATATTTTTTTACTAATAAAAGAAATGAGAATAAATTTGGATAACAATAAATAAATAAATTTGAATGACAGAGACTAATTAGTTTGTTGTTTTTTATGAAGCACCATGCATGTCTATTATTTTTTGTTTCCATTTTATTTGTGTACTTTTTCGTTAGTCATAAGTATATTTATTAATTAAAATATTCTCCGCTTAAATTATGGTACAATATTCGACCACATAATTAAGAGCAGTATTTTAATATTAAAATAAAATATATAAAAAAATGAAGTGAGTGTTTTATAAAAAAAAATTATTAATGAATTAATAATAAAGTAGTATGATAATATAAAAAAATAATGACTAATTGATTATTATTTATTAAAATAAAATAATAAAATTATGAACAAATAAAATTATTTACTATAATTTGTTATATATAATTATCCCGCTGGAGTAAAATTTTATACTTAAATAGATCAAGATAATTGTATAAAGATTAAAATTTGATTTGAATATAAAAGCAAGTATCCGAAAAAAAGTGTTTGAAATAAATAGTTTAATATTGAATAATACTATTTTCGCCACAATTAGATTGACATTTTTTTTTCATTTTTTTTGTCCTACTTTAGTTGACATTTTCTATTTTGGATAGAATTTACTCATCAAAATATATTTAATAAATATAAATCAATTTAATTAACTATATAACATGCAGTATCATACATTATATAGAACCAACTTAAAACTCCTTAATTTCTTTCTATCTTTCACCTCAAAAAATAAATATTTTAATCTACATTTAAAACTCCACCTTTATATATATATATATATAAATAGCTTTTTTTTAATTATAAATAAAAAACACATATTTTTTTATTTACTTGTATTATATACAATTTTATTTTCAAAAAAATGATATCTATATGACATATATTCTTTATTGCTATATAATATTTAAGATATTTAAATATATATTCTAATTTTTCTTTAATCATATATACTAAATTTGTTGTAAAACTATCAATGCATTTAATTACATAAAAATAGTAATAAAATAATATCATAACTCACTATTATTAATTAATTAAATATTATTATCTTAAATATCATATTAATCATTCATAGTTTATGCGCATGTAGATCAATCATCGTTAAATAAGGACAACTGAGTAGGTTAAACGTATAATTTATGAAACCATAAGAAGATTTGATGTAATTTCGTTAAACAATGAGTGAATTTTGCAATCTAATCTAATTAAATATAACAAATTTGATTTAAATTAGGTTTACTAAATGAAATACAAAATATATATTCCTTCAGCCAATTAAATTTATTCTTTTTTTTTTCTTTTTTTTTTTTTCGTCTGTCAATTGAATTTATATGATTGTTATATGCAAAAAGTTAAAAAATCAATATTTAATTATTATTTTTTATTTAATACTTATTTACAATAAATCTCATTAAATTTACTGTTTCCGTCCCATAACAAACTATTTATTTTTCTATTTTAGTCCGTTCCATATCAAAGTATAATTTCATTTTTTTTTAGTAATTGTACTATCTACCTAACATTACAAATATTCTTACAACTTATAATATATTACACAAATGTCATTATCTTTATATCACACAATACTAATATGGTTATTTTAGTCATTTATTCTTTATTCCTACTACATCTCAATATAATACTAATATTTTTAAAATTACGTACAAAAAACAAATGGATACATAGTTATGGGACATAATAAGTATTATATTCTCTTGGCTAAAGAGCACAAAAAACCATTTGTAATTTCATGAAATCGCGCCAAATTTCCTATAGTTTAAAAACTGCGGCAAACTTTCTAATGATTTCATATATTGTGTCTAACCCCTTTAGACGCTCTTATTTTAATGGTGTTTGACTTACATGCGTCCAAATTACGAATAGATTTTAGAATTTCAATTTTTAAAACCCTAAATATAATAATAAATATATTTATAATTTCAATGATTTAAAACTGAAGATTTTAAAACTTACTAAATTTGAAGACGTGCAAGTTAATTACCGTTAAATAAAAATGAA